GCCTCATTTCCACTTTATTATCGCTTTCTGGCCCACGTGTGATAACTTTCTAGGACCTCTGCTCCCAAACTCTACCAGGGCTGTGGTTCCAGACAAATGGAGAAATCTTAATTAGACCCACATTTCATTTTGAAGAAACTCTCCCTCCCTCCCTCTCACCCTCTGTGTCTGTGTTAATTTTCAAAAGAAGCAAGTCTAGGCATTTACATTGACCTCCTGAGTGGAGTACCGCAGAAAATGTACTATACAATATTCAAGCGTTTTTAATTAAGGATTGTCTCCGAATAGCATTTTTGAAAATCAGCCGTCAAGATGCAAGAGTTTAAGTGTGTTCTCTGAATGGAACAGTGCATTATTGTTCGGAGCAACCTGGGCTAGTATGCATAAGGAAATGCAGCCTTCCATACCAATTTGCATCTTAATGACTAGCCACACTTTCGATTACTCATCCAACAAATGAAAGTCCTAAATTGCATTCGTTACTCTTTTGAGTAGGTCTTTCTCATTCAGCAAATTCACACACTCAGCCGCTTGTCTTAGTTACACTGCAGTATTACTTGGCAGCGAATGGTGTTTTCTGCAGAAAGGAAGGGGCCTCAAATTTGATATTTTAAAAAGCCAGTTCCTTCATATTGGCATGTTTGGAATACGATGCCACTACCAGCATATTAAATAGGAAGAAAATACAAGTCAGGAGAGGCCGCAGCAGTTTGCTTTTGCCTCATTCAACTGGGAAAGCAAAAATTCTAACCCTCACCTCTTCCAAAATGTAGAGTACTTTTGTACTTTGAACTCAGTTTGCAGCAATTCAAGTAAGCTGAGAACAAAGGGGGAAAATGGGAGAAAAAAAATAAGTGTGGCATAATGGTTTGAGTGTTGGACTATGATTTGTGGGGGGTGGGTGTGTCAGGGTTTAATTTTCTGCTTGAGCTTAAAAACCCACTGGGTGACCTTAGGCAAGTCACACACTCTCAGCCTCAGATGATGGCCATTGCTGTGTGTCATAATAATAATAATAATAATAAATAAAATTTATTTATACCCCGCCCCTTTGAGATCAATCGGGGCGGCTTACAGTAAAAAGTGCAATACAACAGTAAAAACAAATTACTCTTCAAATTGTTTCGGACTTATGGCAACCCTAAGGAGAACCTATCAAGAGGTTTTCTTGACAAGATTTGTCCAAAAGAGGTTTGCCATTGCCTTCCTCTGAGGCTGAGAATGTGTGACTTGTCAAAGGTCATCCAGTGAGTTCCATGGCCAAGCTGGGAATCGAACCCAGCTCTCCAGAGTTGTAGTCCAACACTCAAACCACTGCACCACACAGTGTGGAATTCTAAACTGTTTTACACTGTTTTAACTACCAGGGCTCAATCCTATGGAATTCTGGGATTTGTAGATTTTTTATTTTTTTTTAGACATTTTGCCTTCTCTGTTAGAGTGCTCTGGTGCTCCAACAAACAACAATACTCACAACAGTTAAGACAGTGTCAAACTGGCTGATTTCTGAAGGGCAGATGCAGCCTAAGAAGCATGAATTTACACTGATAGGAGTGTTTTGAGCTTTTATTTGGTCATGTCCTCCAATTCTTCTCAGCTGTTCTCCATTCTGTGGTGCCTTGTCCTCCTTTATGGTTAGGACACCTGGTGCCCTGAGCCTCCACACAACCCTGGCAGAAAGGGTCACTCCAGCAATTGAAGAGTGAGAAGGCTGTAGTGTAGGAGATGCCCTAACTGCAGAGGACAAGGCACCGCAAAATGCCGGACCTTCAAGAAAAATTGAGACCATGACCAAACAAACGCCAAAAACACTCATATAAATATAAATCCATGCTTCTGAGCCATGGTCCAAATGGGGGACATTTTGACATTCCTCCTGGATAGAAGGCTGAAATGTAGGATGTGTCCTGGAAAAGGAGGACATCTGGTCACCCTGTATGGAAGGACGGAAGGGACTAATCCAATCTAGACAACAAGCATGGTAGTATAATTTTAGGTTCAGGATGCCAAGTCCACCTCTTTCTTTGGTATCTTGCATAATTTTCATTTTTATTCTAGGTTTCTTTTTATTCCAAATAAATGTAGATAGGTCTTTTCCCCATTCCTTGAATGGTATATCATTAGTTAATATGGGTAAGGAGTGGAATAAAAACAGCATCTTCCATGTTATGTTCATGAACATTATACACTTATTACTAATTTGCACTTTGGTTATGCAAACTCAACACCTTAATCCTCACACTGGGGTTGCCATATTCCAGCCCCTCATCCCTGGGTATATAATATTATGCAAATTATTATAAATATGCATATTACTAATCTGCATCACGACTATGCAGACTCAACACTTTAATCCTTGCACTGGGGTTGCCATATTCCAGTCCCTCTCATATCTGGCCATCTAAGATCCCTATTATGCAAATAATTATAATTATGCCTATTACTAATTTGCATCCTCATTATGCATATTGTCATATTCCAGTCCCTCTCATACATGGCCATTTTAATATTATGGAAATCATTTTAATTATCGCTATTACTAATTTGCATCCACATTATGCATATTGCCATATTCCAGCCCCTCATACCTGGCCATCTCATATTATGCAAATAATTATAATTATGCATATTGCTAATTTGCATAATGACTATGCAGACTCAACACTTTAATCCTTGCACTGGGGTTGCCATATTCCAGCCCTCTCATATCTGGCCATCTAAGATTCCTATTATGCAAATAATTATAATTATGCCTATTACTAATTTGCATCCTCATTATGCATATTGCCATATTCCAGTCCCTCTCATACATGGCCATCTTAATATTATGGAACATATGGAATATATTATTATGGAATAATCCTTGCACTGGGGTTGCCATATTCCAGCCCTCTCATACCTGGCTATTTAAGATCCCTATTATGCAAATTATCATAATTATGCCTATTACTAATTTGCATCCTGATGATGCATACTGCCATATCCCAGTCCACCTGATATTATGCAAATCATTACAATTATGCCTATTACTTACATCCTAACTATGCAAACTCAACCCCTTAACCATTGCCCTTGTCCTTTCCTTCTGCTCCCTCTTGTGATGGAGAGAGATAGAGAGAAGCCAGGTACTTAAGTGAGGGCAGAGCGAGTGAGGGCAAAGCGGCTTCATTCCTCTAAGCCCCCCATGCGCGAAGGGCTCTTCGCGCATGCTCCCTCCGGAGACGGGGGTAGGAGGTCTCTGAGCATGCGCAGGAGCGACAGGTGAAGCCAAAACCGGAGAAGGCGGTCTCCTCAGACCGGACATTTTGTGGGCGCTCTGAGCCGGCTCCCCTCGTACCCCACTATATGTCCAGCATGATGAGGCGAGCCGGGGGGCCCTTCTCCTGGGCGGCCTCGTTTGTGTAACGGAAGAGCCTTTCCTTCGGAGCGGGCTCCATCCCCTCAGGAGCCCTTCCCTGCCCTCCATTGGGGTTCCCTCCATTTGCAGCCCCCGTTTCAGTCCCGCCTGAGACCAAGATGGCAACGCCGGCGGCGGCGGCAGCGGCAGCAGCGGCGGCGGCGGTAGTTAACCCTCCCGGTGAGTCTGTCGGGGCTGCCATTGCTGGAGCATCACTGCTGGCCCTGGAAGGGCTCTTGCTCTTGGTGTTGCTGTTGTTGGCAAGGCTATTTTATTTATTTTATTCATTAATGATGAATAATGATGCCAGGAGTGTATATTTGTATATGATTCGGTTATGCCTTTTTTAAATGCATTATATATATATATATATATATATATATATAT